ATTCAGCAAGTGCATGTCCGGGTAGAGAATGGAGCCACTGTTCTGGGATAGAAGGTTCGGTACTGACGGTAAGTGAAGCATTTCTATTGCTATCACCTTGAGGTGAGTAAACCATGGTTGGCAGGGCCACCACGGTGCGATCATTATAGCATCTGCCCAATATTGAATGACTCTGATGACTGTCCTCTGGATCATTGGTATCAGTGGGAAGATGTAGAGAAATTCTTCCATCCAATCTAGCATAAAGGCATCTCCCAGTGACTCAACATCGATGCCTGCTCTCAAGCAGTATCTGGGGCACTTGGTGTTGTACCGAGTCACAAAGAGGTCTAGCGTTGGGTAATCCCACTTGCGGCAGACTTTTTGAAAAATGGACTTATCTAGTGTCCAGTCATGCACACAGGTGGGTAGTCTGCTCAAATGATTTGCCAAGTAGCTGTCTTCTGTTGAAATGTGGATTGCCTGTGGGAAGGTGTGGTGGAGATGGCACCATTCCCAAAGGTCCATTGTGAGGTGTAGGAGGGGTGTAGAGTGTGTGCCTCCCTGTTTGTTTATGTAGCGCATTGCCGTGGTGTTGTCTGTCACCAGTTGGACCGCTTTTCCTTTGATGCGAGGCAGAAAGGCTTGAAACGCCTTTATTATGGCCAACATTTCTAGTTGATTTATATGAAGTTCCCTTTCTCTTTTTGTGTTCTTGACAATGCACTGCCCACCCCGAAGGACTCACATCTGTGGTTACCTGTATTGATAAGTGTAGTGGCTTGAAAGGTCTGCCCGCTGTCAGGTTCTGGACGGATGTCCACCAGGTAAGTTGGTGTGCCAATTCTGGGGTCACCAGTAGGTGTTTCGATTGATGGTCTATTAGCGGTCGAACAGGGATAGAAACCATGCCTGTAGTTGTCTCATTTTGAGCCTTGTGTGGATGACAACTGCAGTTGCAGCTGCCATGAGACCCAGCAGATGTGTCTTGTGGGGGTGATACAGTTGTGTACGGTTGAAACAGGTGAACAGCATTTTGTATCTTTATGATTCTTTGTACAGGTAGGAATGCCCTTGCTCCAATGTGGTTGATCCTCTGTGAAGGTTCTAGTTGGGATTTGTTGAGGTTTATTCTCAAGTCCCGTCTTTGTAAAGTGTGCATAGTAATTCTTGTGGCTTCAATGGCATTGTGATAGGAGCGAGCTACTATAAGCCAGTTGTCAATGTAAGGGAAGACTGTAATCCCTCTGAGTCGGAGGTAAGCCACAATGGGAACCATGCATTTCGTAAATGTTCTGGGGGCTGTTGATAGTCCGAACGGTAGGGCACAGAATTGGTAGGTTGTGTTCTCGAATAGAAACCTGAGAAATTATTGATGAGTAGGGTGTATCGTTATGTGGAAGTAGGTGTCCTTCAAACTGATGGCCACAAACCAGTTTCCCTTGGATAGAAGAGGGAAAATGGTACCAAGGGTTAGCATACGGAATTTTCTAGGATGTATAAATTTCTTAAGGCGTTCAGGTCCAGGATGGGTTGAAGATCTCCATCCTTTTTAGGGACCATGAAATAACTGGAGAAAAATCTCTCATTCATCTCAGATGATGGAACTCTGACTATAGCACACTTTTGGAGGAGTGATGATATTTTCTCTTGTAGTGCTAATGAGAACAAGGTGCTCTTGATGGAATTTGATGGTGGAATTTTAAAGAATTCAATAAGGTAGCCCTTCTCAATGATAGACAAGACCCATTTGTCAGTTGTTATCCGCTGCCATTCTGATAGGAATGTAGAGTGGCAATGATTAAGATTAGTGCTTACCCTTTTGCTGCTGCTTACAAAAGGGCTGTGTAACATTCTGAGGTTGTTGCTGTCTAAACTGTGGAGTAGCCCTATGTGCTGGTTGGCAAGGTCTTTCTTGAGGCTCCTGCTTATGTGAGCGAAAAGGTTGGTATTGGCACTGTTGTTGTTAGTATGGCTTCCTATAGTAAGGTTTTTGATATTGATAGGGTTGCTGCGGTACGTAAGACTTCGCTGTTTTTCTCATCTTATGGATGTTTTCCATCATGTCATCTGTTTTGGCATTGAATAGATCTGCAGCATTGAACGGGAGGTCCTTTATCTTAGCTTTGCTATCGTCAACGATGTTAGCTGACCTAAGCCAGGCGCGTCTCCTGACAGCTAACGAGGTGGCCATAATTTTCGATGCTGTGTCCACAGTGTGTCTCGCGGCCACTCTTTGTTGTTTGGCTACAGTCGTAGCCTCTGTATATATATTCAGCAGTTCTGGTTTTGTTGCTTCAGATGCTGCTTGCAGCGTAGGGAGTATTTTGTCCCATAAATATCTTTGATAGGCACCCATAGCTGCCTGACAGTTGAAAATTCTAATCAATAGTGCTGCAAGGGTGTAGAGTTTTCTCCCCAAAGAGTCAATTTTACGACCCTCTCTATTCATTGGGGTCATTGATGATTTGTTGCGTGACTTATTGGGTGGACTCAACGACTATTGAGTTAGGGGTCGGATGTTTAAACAAGAAGGCGGCATCTGTACCATGCATCTTATGATGCGTGGAGTCTGCAGCGTTGAGGGTGGCTTGTCCCATGATTCTTTGACAAGCTGAAGTAGTGCTGGCATGAGGTTCAAGCTAGGTGGAGGTGTCTTATCTTGTTGCAAGTTCCGGAACACGAGGTCCTTCTCTTGTTAAGACAGTTCTTGTGTATCAAGTTGCAGGGTCTTAGCCATGTGCAGTATGAGTTGAGTATACGATGTGTAATCCTCCAAAGGTGATGGGGGATGGTTATCCGGTGTATCTGAGTGAGGGGCAGGATGCTGAATCATAGAGACATCCAATGAAGATGAACTGTCATTCTGGGAGGATGTGGAGCACATTCAGGGTGAACGGTGTGGTCCCTCCATATGGGTTCTTGGAATGAAGTTGTCATCTGGTTGTGTAGACATCAAAAGTGGTTCGACATTGTGTCTATGAGGTCCAGAATAGACGGTTGTTGTATCTACCATGGACTGACCCCGAGTCTGTTTAGATTGTTTTGCTGGCGCACTGGTCTCTGGTGCCACTGTTCTCTTTCATGACAGTCTTTCTTGGAAGAGAGGGAGATCTTCTCGGCATCAAGGATGACTTGGGGGACGAGATATTGTGGGGGAGTATCTGGGTCCTCTGTAGTCATCGTGGTATCCATAGTCATGGTATCGATATGGATGGTACTGGTCAAAGTAGCGGTGTCCATAATAAGGGTGATGTTCGGCATGACAACAGTGTCCTCCATGTCGATGAGACTGGTATGAAGAGGTATGTCTACACTTCTCCATTCTCTTTCTCAGAGAGTGTTCAGGAGATTCCAATTCAGACTCCACACAGACATTTGCCCGTCCTGATGTTCGAGGGCTATAGGGGGCCGCGGCCGGGCTGGAAGGTACATCAGCCTCAGATTGGCCTGAGCTTGGTGACATGCTAAGAATAGCATGTGGTGCCGAGCTGAAGAAATCATACGTTCTCTGTCTGAGAGCGTAGGCGCTTCTCTGGAGTCCTCCTCCATAGGCAGCGAAGCTGGTGGAGGAAGTACAATGGTCGATTTAGTAGTCTTCTTTTGTTTCTTGGTCTTATCCTTCTTTTTTTGCAGGATCATCCGACCATGACTGAGTCTTGCACCCTAGGGAGGGTATCTTAATTGTTACTCTTTTTAAAGCTCTAGAAACCGTTGAAACGTTCTGCGCAGGCGCAGAAGAAACCCATTTGTGTGCATTCACAGAAGCCACTACAAAGAACATACAGTGGAAGAGTGTAGGTAGGGTTGCTGCCAAACATCTACTCAGCTATGGCATGTTCTAAAAGTAGTTTTGCACAAGACCATATGTGTGATTCAGGGAGACTATGGAGAAGTATGTTCCTCTTTGAGTTTACTGTAATTGTTCTTGTGTTGTGATTAATTCAGGTGACATGCTTGGTCCATGAAGCAGGATAAATATGTTTATATCAAATTAACTTGGAAGTCCTATTTTTGGCAGTTTAGTCTGTGTCACATTTAAAGCATTAACCATTTTCAATCAAGACAAAAGTGATGTTTGCCAGCTCTCTCCACAAATCCCATAGTAAGTATTCCCTCTTACATTATCAAGTGTGGCTGTGACTGTTTCTCTTAGGAATGAAATGGTGGATCTGTATTTTTCTATCAAACTTAGCGTTTTGTCTCTATCTGAAGAAATCAAATGACTTGCTGAACTTTGAGAATTATGAAACAAGACTAGGGCAGTTTCTACTTGACATAACTACTAGTATTTTGTTATGTCAGCCCAGTTTGGCAATCAGACTCAAAATCAAGGTTTGATAGCAAGGCATTTAAATAAATAACAGAAAATAGGATACAAAAGGGAATGATGGTAGAAACAAAAACTGAAAGGAACAATCCATGTGAGGAAGGGAAGGCACTTTCCCATACTGCAGGATTCTTACACAATTACTACCAGTGGGTAAGGAGTTCTGGGGGCAGCTAACTGAAATGCCATAACTGGCACCAGCCCCAAGAACAAGTAGCTTTCCTCTAAGAAATTCTGTTTCCTGTTCCCTATATGTCTGCATAGCAGTTTCTCCATCTAAAAAGAGTGAAAAGCAAAATGAAATACCATACCCATGCTAAAAATCAGGGACAATTTGTGTTCTGAACAGCAGTATATTTCATTCCAAAATTCTGATGGAATCAAAACCTAGGATCTGATAGGATCCAAACACTGCCAGATTCAAATTACTGTTCCAGCAAAGCCAGATTATTAGTTTGTTCCGAAGACCCCTTCCCAACATGGGCTTGCCTCTTGTGCCCTCATTCTCTTCTAAAATAGTCCAGCTACTCTAATATTTACATATTCTTTGCGCTCTAGAACCTGTCCCCCTCTACCTCCCCCACATGTTCTTACACTGAAAACTCCTGCAAAGAATAATACTATGAATAATCCTTGCATATGTTAAGATGAACATGATTTTGAAAACAATACAGATCTAGCCTTTAACAGATGGAATTTAAAAAAGTTTATTTGAACATCTGTACACATTCCCTCCAACAAATGCCATTTCATGAAGTTTATAGGAGACAGCAGTCAATTTATCTTATATATTCAAACCCAACAGACAAAGCAATACCACAATTCTTCATCTACACAGGCAGAGAACACAAACTTGGAACTACACATACTTTTCCCTCCCAACACCAACTAAGATGACATCCCCCACCCCCCAAAAAAATTCAACTGTACTTCTTTGCTTGGCTCTCCCTGTCCCCAGCTCTTTTGACAGGAAGAGTTGTGGAGAGGAAGATGATTACACACCACCAAATCCTCAGCACCTATGTAACACTTTGTGTCAAATAACTAGAAGCATGCAGGAGCTCAGGCAATGAAATGTCTGTTAAACGTCCAGCAACATTCTAATACCAAACTGGTTCAGTGAAGTATTCAAGATGTTCTTCTTTCAGAGGTTTGTTTCAGAAGTGAAGAAGAACCCTTCAGATTAGGGTACTGTTAGTTCAATCTGAAGACAAAAACCATTCACTTGACACATCAGCTGTGCAGAGAAATGTGTGAAAGGAGAACTGTAGACAAACATGGAACTGGGCAAGAGAACTGCAAAGATCCAAGGATCCCTTCCAGTAACATGCATATTTATCCCACCCACCCCCACCTACTCCTCGGTTTACTGAGAAGTTTACACAGCTTTCCGGTGATACTCTGGAGGTGCAACTTCATAGTCACTTGCACTGAACAATGTAGAAGAGTTCTTTGCTAGATACCTATAAATAGGAAGGAAAAGCCACATACATGAATCTACCTGGAAGCCAAGAGGACAAATTGGTGTCCAATTTGATGGGACACAGCAATACAGACTAACTGTGATACACTACAACACAGAAATGTCATAACTTGGCTTGATAAGCATACATGCACTTTATATGCTGATTGTGTAATACCCCTTCTCCACTCCTCTAAACTACTGAGACAGAAAGGTAGGACACTGTTGAAATGTTCTTTGAAGGAGAAGACAGTGCAATTTCTACTTCATTGTTGAAATGTTCTTTGAAGAAGGAGAAGACAGTGCAATTTCTACTTCACAAAGAGCAAATAAACTTCTATCTCTTTTAGTGTATAATTTCAAATTAATCCCTATAAAAAAGAGCAGAACACCACAAAGACTAGAAGACCTCTCGTTCCAACATGGTAGGTTTTCCAATGTTTAACCTTTGTCAGAGGTTGTCCAGTGATTTGAGGGTCAGTGGCATCTATATGAAACTTTATCTCACCTTTCCATCTAACTCCAAGGAAACTGTTTCAGTTCTAAATTGGTGTTTAGTGTCAGTAATGAGGGTCTATGGTTTTACAAATAAGGACATAATAAAAATAATCTGGTCCTTAGCAGGTCTGAGAATTAGGTAAATACAACCTCAGATGAACAACAACACATGACATATTACACTGTGTCATGATTTATTTTACAGAAATAAAGGCAAAATGGAGAAGCCATGTGGGAAAAACTAACTACATCCTTACTGCTTCCATAGCAATTAAGAAGCTAAGTAGAAGCCAGGTGCTGCTAACTAAATGCCCTTGAGTAATTGATCATCAGCAAGTGTGACCACCTTTATAAAAGCCAATGTTTTAGCAGTTTGCTGGTCTGGAGAATTCAGGTGTCTGTTAATGCAATGCCAAGGAGGAAACATATCAGCAATGTCATAGAGAAGCAATTGTTCCTGCCCATCAATCTGGGAAGGGTCATGAAGCCATTTTCAAACAATTTAAAATCCATCATTCTACAGTGAGGAAGATTAATCACAAGTGGAAAACACTCAAGACAGTTGCCAATATTCCCAGGAGTGGATGTCCAAGCAAATTCACCCCAGGGTCAGACTGTGCAATGCTCAGAGAAATTGAAAAAAAAAAGAGTTACATGTCAGACTCTATAGGCCTCAGCATGTTAAATGTTCAAATTCATAACAGTACAATTAGAAAAAGACTGAACAAGTGCGGTTTGTTTGGAAGGGTTGCCAGGAGAAAGCCTGTTCTCTCTAAAAAGAACGTGGCAGCACGGATTAGGTTTACAAAGCTGCATCTGAACAAACTTCAAGACCTCTGCAACAATTTCCTTTGGAAGTGTTTGGCCATAATGCACAGTGCCACGTTTGGGGAAAACCAAACACAGGATATCAACACAAACACTTCATACCAACTGTCAAGCACGGTGATGGAGAGTTGATGATTTCTTCTTCTTCTTCTTCTTCTTCTTCTTCTCGCACAGCCACAGGACCTGGACACCTTGAAGTCATTGAGTTGACCATGAACTCCTCTGTATATCAAACTATTCTAGAGTCTAATGTGAGGCCATCTGTCTGACAGCTAAAGTTTGGCCAAAATTGGGTCATGCAAGAGGACAATGATCCCAAGCACACCAGCAAATCTACAACAGAATGCTTGAAAAAGAAAAGAATCAAGATGTTGCAATTGCCCAGTCAAACCTCACCCTGATTAAGATGCTGGGCAGGACCATAAGAGAGCTGTACATAAACAAATGCCCATAAACCTCAATGAAGTGAAGTAACATTGTAAAAAAGAATGGGCCAAAAATCTTCCACAACAATGTAAGAGATTAATAAAGTCATACAGAAAACAATTTCTTCAAATTATTGCTGCTAAAGATGATTCTACAAGCTACTGAATCAAAAGGTGTACTTAGTTTTTTACACATGGCTTCTCCATTTTGGCTTTATTTTTGTAAAATAAATCATGACACAGTGTAATATGTCCTGTCTTGCTCATCTGAGATTGTATTTACAGTGGTGCCTCGCTTGACGAGGATAATTCGTTCCGTTCAAATCGCTGTTAAGCGAAATCCTCGTCAAGCGAAACGAAAAAGCCCATTGAAATGCATTGAAAACTGGTTCAATGCGTTCCAATGGGCGAAATACCTCAGCGTCCAGCGAAGATCCTCCATAGGGTGGCCATTTTCGGTGCCTGTAAAGCGAGGAATCCATCCTAAAACACAGCGGGGAGCCATTTTAAACAGTGGGCAGCCATTTTGAAGACCTGACAATCAGCTGTTTTGATCGTCGTTAAGCGAAAAATCGGTTCCTGAAGCAGGGAACCGATCGTCGCTAAGCGATTTTTGCTTATTAAAACATGATTTTGCAATCGCAAGAGCGATCGCAAAAACTTCATCATCAAGCAATTTCCTCGTCTAACGAGGTTATTATCAAGCGAGGCACCACTGTACCTAATTTTCAGACCTGCTAAGGACCAGATTATTTTTATTATATCCTGATACATAACACCATTGACTTCAATGAGGGCGTACTTTCTTTTTCACACAACTGTAAGCAGGTAATATTTTTCCTTATTTGAGAAACTTCAAATGTTTTTCCCAATCCATCTGAAGCTGCTGTGTAAATTAGTCACCTACTGTTTGAGAGCTGGCCCTTAATATAGACAGTAGCAAATTTCCATAAAAGGAATATCCTGGGAGGAAAGCAATGTGAATCTATTGCTGGAAGAACATGGAGCCATGTGATGCTTTGAGCTGTTCCATCTAGATCTCAACCTGTACAATGAGGAAATGTATTCATGGGACAACCGTAGCACACCAAACCCTGGAATAGTTCCTTTGAAATCTAGCACTGTAAAACAGCCGTAGGTGCCTCAGCTTAAATGTTAAAAAATGCAACACTTCATTAGGAAGAAAACTTGGAAATGAGAGGCCATTTAATTAGTCTCATGTAATCCCTAAGAACACGGCTCAATCCATCCATAAACCAAGAGGGCCAGGAACAAACTCTGACAAGTATAAACATAATTCTTTGCATCGTCTCAGAAGCAACATGACATAGCAGTGGAGTACCTGCCCTACCATCCATGTTCAAGCATTCCACACCAAACACATGTTCACAAATGTAACACACCCCAGAACTAGCAGAAGTTAACAATGATTTAAAATACATACTTTAAGAAGTCATGCAAGTAGTTCAACAGCAAGGCCAAACTCTTCTCATCAAGAGGCGTATAAGCAAGCATTGCTCCAATCCGGACTGTTTTCACAGTAATTAAGAACAAACAAACAGACAACATGTTAAGACAAACATTTCTCTGATTCACAACTATACTTTTTTGTTTATTTCCAGTTACTGTAATAAAAGGATCACACAACAACCTAAGAATCTTGTTGAAATCAGTAGGCCCACCTACTCCAGAATTCTGTTCTTACAACAGAAAACCGGATAGATGTCTTTGGGAATCATTTGCATAATTTTGCATTGCACAGCAATGATGCAATATCACCCTTTTACTTGTGTTTCCCAGCAATCTGCGTGCACAAGGCATACAGCCTTGATCTCTGAGATAATAAACAGCTATCCTGTCACTACTGTTGGCTTTAATAAAGTAGAGGCAGGAGAGGCTTATCTGCTATGCAGCAGTTAGAATTGCTGGCTAGATAGCTGAGTGAGAGCTGGGAATCTGGCTGCAGAACCACAGCTTAAGAAGAAAATTCTCCTTAGTGCCTGCTAGAAGAATCAGCCTAAGTGGACTTGTTCAAGATGCAAAGTCCCAAAGACCTTCAGAAGACAGGAGTGGTAAACTACTTCTGAGTACTCTATACTTAGAAAACCCTGGAAAGAGTTGCCATAAGTTGGAATCAACTTGACAGCATGCAATTACAATTACAGTGTTGCCTCACAAGACGAAATTAATTCATCCGGCAAGTTATGTCACCTTCCGAAATTTTCGTCTTGCAAGGCACGGTTTCCCATAGGAATGCATTAAAATTTAATTAATGTGTTCCTATGGGCGAAGAAACTGTTGGGGCTCCCCGCCCCCCACATCTCAGCTGTTCAACGCTGGGTCTCAGAGGCTTCCTGTGGCTTGCCCAGCACAGAAAAAGGCAGGGGGAAAGGGCAGGAAATTCAGAAATGGTGCTTTTCCTCTGCCTTTTTCCATGCCGGGCAAGCCCCGGGAAGCCTCTGAGACGCAGCACTGAACAGCTAAGTGGCGGGGAGCCAGTGCCACTTTCAGAGGTCCCCCGCCAGTTTTTTCACCCATAGGAATGCATTAATTAAATTTCAATGCATTCCTATGGGAAACTGCGCCTCGCAAGACGAAATTTGTTTTCATCTTGCGAATCACCCAAAAACTTCCAAGACGCTTTTGTCTTGCGGGTTTTTTGTTGCGTGAGGCATTCGTCTTGCGAGGCACCACTGTAGCAGCTTAGAATAATGACCCATTTGGGTAAAAAATTTCTAAGTCTAACGGCTGCTACTGGAGGCAGTGAAGGTCAGGTCAGATCTGAAGCTACCATGGGTCAGAGGTTTCCCCTTCCTGTTTTACACCACTGTGACAGTCCCTGTTCAGAAAAAAGGACTAGAACTTATTTAAAAGGCATATGTATCCTACAGGAAAGGCATGAGTCTTAAAGGTAAATCCACACCCCACTGACACTTGGCTTCCTCGACTTGAAGGTTTCTATCTAGAAGAAAATTCAATGTGACTTTCATAAGAGCCATTAAGACCCAACAACATACTCACTCTCACGACCATATGTACTTATTACATCTGGCTTTTGTGTTTAACAATACTGTTATCATTGCAACTCTTATTGCTATTTCACATGGATTTTATGAGAGTTTTTGTTCAAATGTAGGCACAAAAATTTAGTAAATTGCACTTATGAAGGAAGAAAATCTAAATATAAAAATCAAGATGGGAAATTAGTCAGAGAAGTGAGGACTTTTATTGACATTTCTCATGCAAGTGGCCACATTCACAAATTCAAAACATGTGTTGGCAAAAAGGGAACATTCTTGTAAAAAGCAGTTTCAGCCTTCCCAGTATTAACATACATACCAAACAGTCGCAGAAGGTGAGGAGCTCCATACACTTGTGACATTGGTGCATCAGGATGATCTGCTAAGATTTCTGCATACTGTGGCCTCTCAAATTTATACAGCAGTTGAGTGCCCAGCATTACATTGAAGTACTCTTTGATGCCTGCCACTACTTCATTAACAGCATATTCTCTGGTACATATTAAGACAAACAAAACAAAACAAACAAACAAAAAACAAGAAAAAGCAAGTATATCAACAATCAAGAAGAGAAAGAAACAGGGACTATTCCATCAAGCTCCTCCCATCCTCAGAGGATTCCATCTCTCTGTTCATCTTTTATTGATCTCAATGGATGTATGTGCTTGTACACACATGTGCAATGTATCTGCTCTACTCCCAGGCTGGCCTTTGTGATTATGTGGTTTGTGAGACTGAGGTAGCATTGCTATGACCAACAAAGGTATGTGGATATTTTGTAGTATGCCTTTTTTTAAAAAATGTTTCTGGTCTGTGGAAGTTTTTAGGAAGTACATGAGAAGTAGAAAGTATATTCTAGAACATCTAGAACATAGTTTTGAAATGAAACTACATTCATGGAATGTGGGGTCCTCATCTGTTTCATCTTTTGCAACCTCACTGTTGTTAAATGTCCAACGTGGTAATTAGTAGGTCTGCCTTTTTTCATCTTCAGCAGATTGCGCAGATGCAGCCCTTCATGGACAGAAACTCCCTAATCACACCTGGTCCATGTGTCTCTAGAATCTATTACTGCAATGCCCTCTGCCTGGGCCTGCCTTCAAAGGTGATTCAGACTTTTCAGCATGTACAAAATGCAGTAACTAGATTAGTTTTAATTAGAGATTCATATACAAATACAGTCATGCCCCACTTAACGATTGTCCTGCATTACGATGAATCCGCTTTACGACAATGTTTTTGCCATCGCAAAACGATGATCTAAATGGGGGAATTTCGCTTAGCGATGATCGGTTCCCTGCTTCGGGAACCGATTTTCGCTTTACCACGATCAAAAACAGCTGATCGTCGGGTTTTCAAAATGGTCACCGGGTGCTTAAAATGGCTCTCCGCTGTGCTTAGGGATGAATTCCTTGCTATATAGGCAGCGAAAATGGCCGCCATACGGAGGATCTTCACTGGACGGTGAGGTTTTACCCCATTGGAATGCACTGAACGGTTTTCAATGCATTTCAATTGGGTTTTTAATTTCGCTTTATGATGTTTTCGCTTAACAGCGATTTTCCTGGAACGGATTATCGTCGTTAAGTGAGGCACCACTCTACCCCCATCTCTAGTTTTAATTACAAATATCTCCCTGATCCTAGAGAGCCCGCATTGATTGGCTGGCTGTTTGCTTTGGGGGCAAATTTAAAGTGTTAGTACTAACTTATAAAAAGCCCTTTGGGACCTCAGAGTGTCTCTCCTTAAAGTCATCTACCCAGGCAACCAGGATTCATCAGGAAACGGGTGAAAGCTGTAGTTTTTGCAGACCAATGTGTCTTTAATTTGTGCTTTGTCTGCCATCACCCATGGGTTTCTTGTTTGGGTTTATTAATTGGGTGCCTATGTTTGTTGAGTGAGTTATTATTTCTTTCTCTGCTGTTAGCTGCCCAGAGTAGTGCTTTGTCACAAGATCAGCAGCATGAAAATGCAATAAATAAATAAACAGTACTCCTAGCTCTATTCTTCTGCAACTGGGAAAGGAAAAAAAGTGACCTGGTGATTATTATTACAAATCTTTCTAGACAAGTATGGCAGGCTGGTTACAACTGAGTTTGTTGCTGTTTGGTATTCTGTTCAGCATCCTGTGCATATTGACATCTTCCAGGACCCTGTCTTCACATGAAAAGTGTCTGCTACCTGCATCCTGTATCTAGCATTAGGATTCCACTGCACAGCTTGCAAATAAAGAGATAAAAAATATTACTGGTAACAAATTACACTGGGGGATGGTTTAACAAGCACAGAATGTTGCTACTTTAAGAAGGATAGTAATGTATTTCTTTTTTTCAGTGATAAGAACAGAGATTCCCTTAGGTCATTACTGCAGGCATGAACTTCTGTTTTGGCAGTTCAGCACAGTTCATTTCCTGTCCAAACAGCTGATCCGGGTTTGAAACCTCCACCTCCCCTCTGGGAGCTGCCTCTGAGTGGATGCCTGCTGGAGGGGGCAGGGCACTGAACCACAGATCATCTGTTCAGCCAGGAAATGAAATGCACTAAACCACAGAACCAGAAGTTTATGCCCATCTCTACTGCAAAGATACCTGAACTATGAAGGGATGGGAAAGAATGGATACAGGCTAGGACTGGATGTGGCCGAGACAAAACCAAGTTTGCGGAAATTTTGGTGAAGGCAGATCAAGAGTAAAAAAATGTAACTGTCGAGAGAGGGGATGTTTGTTGAGGGAAGAGACTGAAGAGTCAAGAGAAGATGGCAATACATAAGTGGCAGAGTACATTGTTAGCTGCAGTCTTGGGACTCCAGTAAATGGCAAATCAGGGCAGAGATTGAAGGAACACTCAAGCTAAACTGGCAGACTAGTGCTACCCAACTACTATTCCTCTTAATTCTCTACCAACAACATCCATCTTTGTTCCCTTCTCACTTCTGGGTCTGCCATGGGTTTTGCTGCCTCTACAGCACTAAAGCTTTCCTTGCTCTCTCACTCCATCAATCACCCCAACACATCCAACAATCTCCCTGTTCAGTAGAAGAATGTTTTTGTCTCCCGAATCAATAAACCTCTGCTTCTGTAGTGATGTTTATAAGATTAGCCTGCTAGTAATGAAACTGTTAAGTTAGGCGAGAATGGATAAATGAAGATAACATATATAAACATCCCATGCCTATTAAACGGCTGATGTAACATAAGCTAGATGTCAACCAGTACAGAGTCAGCTAAGCCAGTTAAGGTACACTGGAAATGAGCTGAGAAGCTGGGGGGAGTAAAAAGATAACAGGAATGCCAGCACAGAGGAAACACACAGAAATCATGAATTTTCCTCCACAGTTTTACTAGCAGATGACTGGGTGTGCACCTAGAAAACTTATGCTTTTCCATGTGTGTCCAAATATGCTAAAAGGCTAAGAGATGCATTTCTACTTAATTTACTTTTACTTTTTTACAAGATATCCTTTTTAAGGGTATTACTTGTATTACTAGATTGCAATAAAACTTAAGTTCTTGTCTGTAACTTTGGTGGTTAAAAAGCTTACAATCAAAAAATATTTGACATAAGTATTTGCCTACAAATTAAGTTCAATCTTCATATATTTTCAAGCATTTGAACCTAGAGCATTTGCTAATAGCTGTAAGATTATTTAGAGAAGTATTTTGACTTCTTAAAAAGTTGCATGTTTTCAAAGGTTTTTCTGTTTTTATGTATAGAGGCAATGTTGATGAATTCGTTCGTTCGTTAGGCATCCTTTAGTCTCGAAAGACTATGGTAACGTGCTCTGTATGGAGGACTTGGAACAGCGTCTAGTGTGGCTGAGGAGGCCAATTCGAGAGTGACAATCCCTTCCACACTGAAGACAAATCCAATCTGATGAATAAAGCTTGTAGAATTAGACAAGTTAGTGTTGCTTGGACTCATTTCTCTGTGTTTATTTCACTAGGAGTGAAAACAATGGTTTATTCTCAACCTCTGAAGAGAGATGGTGCAAGTTGGGAAGCTATATTCTTTGTGAACCAGGCAGGAGGAAGTAAAAGACTTATATCTTGTTACTGAGATGAATTTTGATATGATTGTCATGATCGTCTAGAACAAGGAAATGGCCATGTGGTCCTGAATATTACACAAGTGCAAGAGTGGGTAATACTTTTTATTGGGCTACTAAAAAACAAATAAACAGCAAGTTTTCATGGATGAAATCCATTTGCTCAAGCTAAGCACACCTCCGCATGGTTGGTGCAAAAAAATTGTCAAAAAAATCAATGCTACATATGTATGAGAGATGATCAGATCTTCTTGTGGGGTTGACCTCTAGTGTCTCTGAGCAAGGTTTGGAATGTTTACATGCTGACTCTTAACTACCAAGGGGTGCCATAAAGTTTCATAGTTCTCTGAGGACTTTGTGCAAGTGTGACATTTTGGACTTTGTGCACCTTGACATTTTGATACAATATTAATCATGTTTGTGATCACTAACCTTCATATGACTTTTGTATATTAGTATTACCTTAATAACACTGTATTAAGATTTTTCGTTCGTACAAAGAAATACTTCATACAAACTACAATGGTAAGTAATTACTAGAAGTTCTAGAGGGCACAGACATTCCTTCCTCATAGCAGATCTGAGCTGTCACATAAAGATAGCATTCAGAGTGCTACTTTGTTTTCCTGCTAGGGATGGGGATGTCTTTGTGCATTATGCCAAAAAGTAAAATGATATGCACATTCTGGGTCTGTAAGTGTGCACATATGCATACCCTTTATTAGTACATCACAGGTACCAAAATATTTTGACACTCCACCAACATACATGTCTTTAACATTTTTATGTTGGTCCCAAATGCCCTATGAATATACTGAAGAAACTGCCAATCTGTGCATCTACAAATAGTCATATTGTGATGAGTGTTCATTGACTAATTACTCTTACAATTAATTGCCAATGTGTGAGGTTGGGAGCACCCTGGCAGGAACTCCTTAAAATATGTTGTCCACCATCTCGAGTGAAGATATGGTGGGAAGACGGGCTATGTCTAAGTGGGAATGAGCAAAAAAACCTGGGAAAGGAACCAACACGGCAACATTTTGGCAGAAGGTGATAAAGATATAAAAGGACAGGAAGAGAAAGGAGGGGGGGCAGTTGGAAACAGTGAAGAAAGAACCATGTTTTGGGGTTATAGATGAAGAGAATAACGAAACAAAAGGATTGGGCAGAAATAGTGCAGGAGGACCCATGGACAAGAGAATGGGTGGAGTTTAAGCCGCCTAGAGAGCTTGCCGAGAAGGAGTGGAAGAGACAAGTATATCACAAGCTGTCCTATTGGGGAGAAACTGAGGAAAGGGAGTAGAGGGGGAAAATTCAGAGAGTGATAGAGAAGGGAGTCCCAGAGATGTGAAAATAGTGTATGTTCCCAAACCCCTGGGAGGTCTCATGGGGAGAACCCCTTCTAATCCAGATTACGGCCAACTCCAGGGCAAGAAAGTCTAGAAACCTCAGGTGGGATGGATCTTTCACCCTCACCAGTGAAGTTGAATCTGCTACAGCTGATAAGTTGGGCATCCCACATAACTGGAAGTATAAAGAACTTAGTTGGACACCTCTAACAGTTAGGGAGGCATTTGTTGTTGTTTGATGAAAAGCTGGATGACAAAGAGCCTCTCAAGCAAGAGGCTGAGTTGGTCACTGATGCTAATCCCAGAAGTTCGTTAAAAATAAAAGAACCTTTGATGTTAACTGTGTCCAGAAGTCTTCTGTCGCGGGCAAGATGCTGGGGGAGGAAGAGGGAACCGCACCCAATGACACTATGCCACCAATCAGATGGAAGAGTTGTATATATTATTGTAAAGTGCAATATGAGAATTTGCCATTACAACTGAAAAAGATTCTTTTGTATTCTTTTGGGCTGCCAGGGCAAGTACCATAAGGAATTACTAATATGTGGCAAAATGAAGTACTTCCAGGATAATGGTCACCTATAGAAGGCCAGAATGAGTTCCTTTCAAAAAATGACATTCAAATTTCTGTTTTATAGGGAGTACACATTTTGCTTAGCTATCCAATGGGGATAAGGGATAACTCAGTTTGGATCATACTGAAACATGATTATCCTATAGTTCTGTACTTTGCAGAATACTGAAGGATGTGTAAAACAATATGTACATTATGGAAAATGAGAGAAAATTGTACATAACAATCTTTATAATTTTTGTACACATGAAAGTAACTATAACGTTTAAAAATATTTACAATGTGGCACAGAAACACAATGAAACAAAAGTATGCTTGAAAAAATGGCAAAGGTATAGAAAGTCAGAAAGTTCCATACAGCCACTGCTCATTTCAGGAGCTGAACCTATCAGGATGGAGCTGGAAACCTACAAACTTGATTCAGTTTCAGAATATTCTGGGAACATTTCAGCATATTCTGGCAGTGACTCTATAGAGGCCTTTGTGAATAAATGGTGTTGGCAATTTGCAAAATCAGGTGCATGGCCTATTTGAAGAACAGAGCTGGGGAACTGAAATAGGTTGGAACATGGAGAGACATGAGGCAAAACACACTTTCTCTGGCTAAGCCAATCTACAAATAGATACTCCACAAGTAAAAGAAAGCTTAAGTCTAGCACTCGGCCCTAGCCAAAGAATAATGCTTTCATCCATGTTTGTTCCACGGACAAATTATCATTGACATACACTTCTAATGGACCCTCGTAAACCATTCCCTTCTCACTTGTTGTCAGTGTTGCCTCTTGACTTCTTGTAGTTTGCGTAGTCTTCTAAAATGGAATCAACATTCTTCTTGGCAGGAAGATAGAAGAGCTATGGGGGAAAAAACAGACAACTGAGCCAACATAGAGATGAGAAAAATACAATTCTCCCAGCCAAAGCAGAAACTGGGACCTTCTGTTTTAAATGTTGCATGCCCTTCTAGCAACAAAACATGAGAACTAAAATTGTCAGCCTACAAAGAGAATTACTATTCCAATTAGATTGTGTCATATCAACCACTAAGGATATTGCAGATACTTTAAAATGGTTCTCTTTCAAAGTAAAGTAGCTTCAGGGTTACCTGTTTCTGCCGAGTGATCAAATCCCAGTCATCTACCAGCCATGGTTTCAGTTCTTCAGGTATTTTGACCTTTACTTCAACCCGGTTCATAAATGTTTCTTCCTGAAGAATAAAACAAAGTCATATAGATTCTGAAATGGAGGAGAATATATTCTTGTACAATAGATTCCAAAATCAATGCAAACAAAAAAGAAAAGATTCCAAACTATCTTGAACATGGAAATAGACACACACACACACACACACAAACGTGTGGGTATATATTTGCATATATACACATATATGTAAACACATACGTAGATATTGTATATACATATGCATGAAGCATCAATATTTTAATGCACTGAAAGATGGGAAAATTCAGCACCTGCCTGCCAACACATTTAAATGCTGGATGAAACTCCCATAAGCCCAACTGCTATTCATGAGATTTGCATTCAAAACATCCCTATTCTACCAGGCTGCCTACCTTTGGTCTAATCATTGAATGAAATTGGAAGGGGCCTATAAGACCATTGAGTCCAACCCCCTACTTGACACAGGAAAAGAAATTGAAGTAGGTCTGCCATGGTTTGCTAAGTTTCTCTTAAATGCCTCCAGGGTTGGAGCACTCACAACCTCTCAAGGTAATTGGTTACACTGTCTTACTGCTCTAACAGTTAGGATGTTTTTCCTGATAGTCTGGCTTCCTGTAACTTGAGCACATTGTTGCGTGTCCTGCACTCTGGGATGATTGAGAACAGATCGTGACCTTCCTCTGTATGACCTTTCAAGCATTTGAAAAGTGATATCATACATCCCCTCCATCTTCTTTTTTCAAGGCTAAACATGTCCAGTTCCCTGATCATCCCTGTTGCCCTCCTATGAACTAGCTCCAGTGTGTCAGCATCCTTCTTGAAATGTGGGGTCCAGAACTGGACACAATATGAGGCCTAACCAGTGTCAAATAGAGAAATAGTACCTCGCAGGATTTGGAGACTATACAGAAGTTATGTTAATACAGCCTAAAAAAAGCATTTGCCTTTTTTGTAGCCACATCACACTTTTGGCTCATATTCATCTTGTGATCTACAACGGTTCCGAGGACTTTTTTGCTCGTACTATTGCTGAGCCAAGTATTCCCCATCTTGTAACTGTGTGTTTGGTTTCTTTTTCCGATGTGCAGTACTTTCACTTATCCCTCTTGAATTTCATTTTGTTGTTTTTGACCCAATGCTCCAGCCTATCAAGATTATTCTGAATTTTGTTTCTGTCTTCCAGGGTTTTAGCTACTTCACCCAATTTTGTGTCATCCACAAATCTGATTAGCATTTCCTGTATCCACCGATCCAGGTCATTAATAAAAATGTTGAAGAGCACAGGGTCTAGGACTGAGCCCTGGGGTACCCCAATTGTTACCTCCACCCAACTGGAAAAGGGGCACTCACCCTCTGAGTACAATTCTATAGCCGTGTATTCACCTGACAGTTGTTTTATCCAGCCCATACCTAGTTAGCTTGCTGATCACAATATCATGGAGCACTTAGTCTAACTTGACTTGAGCAACACTTTTGACAAATCCCTCAGTCTATCAGGGAGGTTTTCCAATCAAAAAATGAGATCAGATTAGTCTGGCAGGATTTGTTTTTGAGAAACTCATGTTGGCTTCTAGTTATTACTACTAACAGAAATCCATGGAAGTGATGTATTTCTTGTGGCTTCCAGCCTCATGGAGAAGCTTATGTTTTAAGAATATGCATATATGTCATTTTTGCTTAAAGTGATATCACTTGAAAATTGGCAAAAACAGTTTTTTGTTCTATGCTTACAAGGATCCCATAAATCAGCAACTGATTTTGCAGACAAGCATCTTGACTCCCTTCTTTGTACAGTGGGGTCTCTACTTAAGGACATCCCTACTTAAGAACAATCCAACTTAAGAACAGCTCCATTTGCTAAATTTTGCTTCTACTTGAGAACAGAAATCCAAGATAAGAACAGGAAAGAAAACCTTTCCTGCTCTTTTTTTAACCTTAGGTCATCTTAGGTTAAAAAAAATTCTCCCCCTAGTGGTAGAGTACGTATTAACCAGCTTTGCATTAGTTCCTATGAGAACTAATGCTTCAATGTACGAACGCACCTCTACATAACAAAAAAACAGCCAGAATGGATTAACTGGTTTTCAGTCCATTCCTATGGGAAATTTTGCTTCAACTTAAGAACGTTTCAACTTAAGAACACCATTCCAAAACGGATTAAGTTCTTAAGTAGAGGTTCCACTGTAGTTTCTATGGACGGAAAAGAGCAGATACGGATTAAATGGTTTTCAATGCATTCCTATGGGAAATGCAGATTCAACATAAGAACTTTTCAACTTGAGAACCACCTTCCAATACGGATTAAGTTCTTAAGTAGAGACCCCACTGTAGTTATTTAAGATCTTAGATACTGTTGAAACATTGGGAATCTTGCTTTGTATTGCTAGCTAACAACACAGTAACAGTGTACTGTACAGTGAACCTCTACTTATGAACGTCCCTACCTACAAACAATTGAACTTACGAACAGCTCCATTTGCAAAACTTTGCTTCTACTTGCGAACGAAGCTTCAACATACGGATGGAAAAAAATCAGGGGAGGCGGGGAAAGTGCAAAACACTCCAAAAAGCAAGCAACCCCAAGACCTATCAGAAATGGGAGGGGAACCAAATAACAAACAAACCACCCAAGACCTATCACAGTACAGAAACGTAACCCCCTGCCCAAAACCATGCTGCAAAAGCACGCAGAACAGTTTTTAAAAAGCAGAAAACAGCACCTTCTCTGATCGCACGCTCTCTAACTGCTGGGGCCAAAGAGCTACAAAGAAGCAGCCTCGTTGCCACCTACAGTTAGCAATTTGAATTTCCCGCCTTTTTCCCTTGCCTTTTGTGGAAGCTCTGGCTGCAAGTCAAAGCAAAATTTTGCAGCCGGAGCTGGTCGTAAAGTAGGGACGTTTGTAAGTCATGTCACCACTGTATTATCTATAGTCTAACAAGATAGATTATATACGAAGTCCACCATAGATTGGAAACTTACACTTTCAACAGTGGGATCTACTCGAGCCCTTTTCTTCCTGGGAGGTTGCGGATTTTCACTGGTGCTGCTGCCTTCACCAGTTCCAGGAGCTATACACACATGCAAAGAATCACGGCTTATTTTTAGTTAAACATAAGTGTAACTCAAACACATTTAAGAGATCAATTGGACTGAATCTCTATTCAATATCAAGCAACCATCCATTTGTAAATAACAGATCGTGCATATTAAATTAAGCACAATTTTTACAAAAATAGTTACATTAAAAGATGGCAGTTCTTGAAATGCAAGATCCTCTGTCTCTTTTATGTAGCAGAAGGCAATGTGCCTGCCAAAAAGGCATTGGTCCCCAAATATAGCCAGATTTGTATTTCCGAGAAGCCCCAGCCACCATGACCCATGATCAGAGAATCTGAGAAAGCTAGTCCAACAATGTCTGGGAACAGAAAATTAGGAACCATGATACTTTTGTTGTTTTTAGTCGTTAAGTCATCATCAAATCTAAACTCTGGCAACAGGAACTTAATTTATTACTCCCCAATTTAAATCCTATTTGTTCCCCTCTCTTCTTCGGTCTTTCCCCTTCTCTTGGTAGACCCTCCAACTATTTCAGTAAACTAATTAATCCAAGTAAAAGGAGGGCTTTTATGCTAGCAAGACTAAACATTTTCCCATCAGCTGTTCGTTTTGGCAGGTTTGCAAACATTCCACGTAACAATAGACTCTCTCTCTCTTGCTCATCTGAGCCCGATACCTTAGACCACATACTACTCCGCTGCCCGACTCATCAACATCTACGAAACAACATTCTCGAACCCCTCCTGTCGTCCCTTTTTGTTTCCCTAGCTGACCTCCTTCCCGTCCTTTTAAGCGATTACTCGGCGACCATCACTAGCGTGGTAGCGGATTTTTTATTAGCGGTCTCCAAGCCAAAATCCCGCCCCCAACCTCCCCCCGCATCACCTTCCCAGCTCTTACCCTCACGATCGCCCTTTTTGGTTTGTAATACTATGACATAAATTGTTACTGCTGCTTTATCCCCTTTTAATGCCAATAAAGGTTTTAAGAAAGGTAAAGGTAGTCATTAAGTCATGTCCGACTCTTCGTGACTCCATTTTGTTGTTTAATCGTTAAGTCGTGTCCAACTCTTCGTGACCACCATAATATTAACACAATCAAATAAGCATTTTTCATTAAGGGGTGCTATTTTAACCAGGACAGGTGACATTTAATTGCTTACCTGCAAGTAATTACTTTGTTAACTCATTCTAACTTAACTGAACTTCAAGAATTGCCACCTCATTGGGATGGTTACAAGGCAAGTAATTACTCTCTGTAAAAGATACCTTTACAGCGTTTCTCCAAACTCTAGCATAGTACATATGAGTAGCGGGAAAATTGCATGTTCTTGCATTATACACAAGATGCATAATACACATGGATCAAAGCATTAATGATTACACTTGTCTACAATCAAAATGTTTCTTAAATAAATGTAGTCAGGTTTTACTAATTTAGGGTCACTGAGAATGAAAATGATGCTTAAAATTGTAGATTGGTTCTAGTTTTCTTGGGTCAGTGTATACAACCCTTGATGAGGGAATAACAGAGGATGAGTGAGTTATTAAGGGAAGGGCTCTCAATTTAATTCATAAATGGCTAAATACATCTTTGACTGGATCTATAAATAAATCTATAGCTGCATTTGTTTTTCAGGCAAAACAATGAATGATGCAATCTGAAGCTGGTATTGCGTCACAGATGATACAAAGTACATCATGCTATCCCTGGAAGTCATGGATAATGCAATCATAATGAAGCTTATGTCACTCTGCTGAACAAATTGCTCAATAAATCACAGAGTGTTGTGCTCTCTTATTTGTCAGTGTTTGATTATGCAAAGGAACGAATTTCTGTTTAGCCAAAGTGAGCACAGATGCCTTGTACTCGTGTGAACAGTGCAGATAACTTCTGTTATATCTGTGGTGAAGTGATTTTTGCATCACAAAAGCACAGATAACCACTATGGTTAAGAAAGCCTATCACCTTTATTTTGGCTACAAAACTGGAGATCAGGACAAGAGATGGCCCCTTATATATGCTGCAACACTTCTGCAACAAATCTTCACCAGTGGTTGAACAGGAAAAGGAAATCTATGCCGCTTGCAGTATCAATGACTCAGAGAGAGCTGACAGATCGTATCAGCATTTGTTACTTCTGCATGGCGCTACTAGTTGGGAAAGCTGTGCCAAAGAAGGAAAAGTAGAATGTTCATTATCCAAACATTCTATCAGCTATACACCCAGTACCCCACAAAAAGTGGAGAAAATAAGGATTTGCTATCCTTGACTTGATTCTAACCAACAGAGATGGCTTGGTGGGTGAAGTGGTAGTAAGGGAAACTCTAGATGAGAGTGACTATATCCTTCTAGAATTCTTGATTTAAAAGGAACTAAAGCACAGTGTAGCCAGATAGGTCTGCTGGATTTTTAAAAAGCCAATTTTAATTATCTCAGAACAAGAATAAGGAAGGTCCCATGGCACAAGATGCTAAGAAGAAAAGAGGTCCAAGAAGGGTGGGAGCATCTAAAAAAAGAAATTTTAAAGGCACAACTACAAACAATTCCAGCCGATGACTTCTAAAAACTGTAGACCAGTGTTATTTGAAAAACAAGTATTATGAAATGAACTATTTATTATGAACCAAACAATAAATAAAGCAACCTAAAAATAATTACTAATTGTTCTGAAGATGCTTTCATTTTCAACCACTGATCGTTATAGAAATCTCTAGATTCTGGTCTGGAAATATACTGGCTGAAAATATGTCTGTTTTACTGACAAGACATTTTATATTGTCCAAATAATTGTAGCAGTATGTTTGTTTCCTTGATTTATACATTGCCCCTTTAATGCAAGCACCACTCTGGGCAGTTTACAGATTAAAGTTTAAAATCCCACAAGACGCCAGTCATGAACTTCAGGAAATTCTAAATCAGAATAGAATATTTCACTCTTTTTCTCAAGTGCTGATGAAATTTAAGGATATTTTCAATGGAATGTGTCTAAACATTCACTCTTCTCCAAGGCAAATTCTAGTATCTTTAATTTGGAAGCCAGTATGCTAGGTAAATTACTAAACCACTCGCATACAAAATCTTTTTTCTAGAAAACCACATTAGAGTGATGACTTAAGAGAAATTCTTACTTTTCTGTTTGTTCTTTTTAGTCTTCCTGTCAAAATGAAAAAAGACATGTTATTGCATGTGAAAGCAATTTCAGTACTAGCACTTCCAAATTTACTCCTTAATATTTTCTACGCTCACATATACTAAACCAATAAGCATTTGACCAACCAACTAAAACCAAAGGATGCAACATCTCTAAGCCGCCTATATTTCACTGCATACACCTAGTCTTATTATGCATGCAGTATCAAAGCTGAACTCTCAGCACTGCCTAGATTAAAGAAAGCAAAGCTTACATGTTTCTGATTCTTTGCAAAGTACACATTTCATATTACCTTGATATCTGCAGACAGAGAAAGAATTTTATCAGCAACCTAAAATATACCGTATTTTTCCATATGCAAGACACCCTTATGTATAAGACACACCCCACTTTTCTAATCCAAACTTAAGAAATCTAAGTGGGGCTTAGCAAATGTAGGGAGCTTAGCAAATGTAGGGAGAAAGGGATCAAAGCGCTGCAGGATCGTTTTGATCCTTGCTTTCCCCTCCACTTGTTTTTGTTCTCTCCTCAGCTTACTTCTGTGTATAAGACAACCCTCAATTTTTAGTCTAGATTTTAGACAAAGGTATAGTCTTATACACGGAAAAAATGGTACGTAGCAGTTTTTTTTATAACATTGGGCACCCCAGAGCAGCCAGAAGCTTTGATATATTTTGGTCAAATAACTCCAGGCATTAATTAAGAACTGATCTATTTTTTTTCATAAAGGACCCAAATTTTCTTGCATAACAGAAGCCGTCTTTGAGATATTACACCCATGCTGCAAGAACTAAGATTTTAACAAGAAGCAGACAGCTCACATTTTATTCATTTCCCATCTATCTGCAGAACAATCTCACAATCACGAGCCTCAAAACCACACTTCAAGCCTGGGCTAATGAAGTACAGTGATGGGCAAGTTACTTTTTATCCAGAAATAAACTTACCATGCAAACACTTCAGAGCTAGCCTGATATAGTAAGAATTGAAAAGTGTGTTCCCTACTCATCGTTTCCATAAATATTATGTTACTACTATTCATATTACATTGCACAGGAAAAATCCCAAAATGTTAGCAGTCTATGGAGAATCTATAGAAGTAAGGAAATGGGGACTTCAGGATGAAGATCGTGGTGTGACAATCCATCCTTAACTCACCGCGTTGATATTGCAGGGGTCTCCAAACTGCAAACCGTATGCGCTCCATCTCGTCTGAAAAATCTAGGCACAATGAGGGTTCAGTTAAGGAGAGAGTGTCAGACCCAGCACATGGAACCTTAAGACAACACAGTTCAGTTTGGGAAAAAAATCAACACAATGTTAGACGAAGTGACAGAAGTATTCAACAAATCCCTGGAAGAAATGTAGCTTATCTGAACTGTAACTCTGTAGAAGAAGTGACCATCTAAATTAAGGATTTGGACTAATCTCATTCTACTTCTTGTAAAGCACATCTTCCTCCTTAACTCTAAAAATGTTCCTGCACTCAGGAGCCAAAGACTGACTATCTCCCGGCCACAGCTCATTGTGTGAGAGACATTGGGACTGTGGTTGGGCTCCTGCCGGCGGCCAACTCCTTTCCAAGGGAGCTGGCTCAGTCTCCCTCTGTTTTTGCAAGACTGGGACCCGCTGCTCCTGGCTGCCTCACCCCCTCTCAACATCAGCCACATGGGGGAAGAGAAGGGGCTTTAGAAGGGTTTTATTTTTTGTTTATTTTTAAATTGTGATTATTAATTGCCATCAATTAAGAGAGACCCACAGTGAGGGTATGGCGTTGGAGGGGGCAGCCATTGAGGTAGTGCTGGGTCAGGGAAGGAATGGCGGTGGAGGTAGACCATGCCTATGTAGGAGAAGAGAGGTTAGATATCTTACATCTATCCCCTCTTCTAGTCCTACCCCCAACCAGAAGGTGTCAGGTGATCATATCAGCAAACCCTCAAGCCACACAGTGCACTGATTAATGCCAGGTCAGTACAAAATAAGACTGCCCTCATCCATGATGTAATTCTGGATGAGGGCACTGACCTGGCGTGCATTACTGAGACCTGGGTGGGAGAGGAGGGTGGTGTTCCCACCTGGGTACTCAGTCCAGCAATGTTGCTACAAGGGTGGGGAGGGGAAGTTGCTATAGTCTATAGGAGTTCTATCTCCTTGACCAGGCTTCCTATCTCTTTGAGAGGAGGTCTTGAGAGCCTGTATTGTGTGTTGGGCTTGCGAGACAGATTAGGGATTCTGTTGGTGTACCACCCACCCTGCTCTGTACCAACAGTCTCCCTGCCTGAGCTGACAGAGGTAGTCTTGGACCTGGTGTTGAGGACTCCCAGGCTGTTGGTGCTGGGGGACCTCAACATTCATGCCGAGGCTGCCTTGACTGGGGCGGCTCAGGACTTCATGGCCGCCATGACAACCATGGGGCTATCTCAATGTGTTATCAGCCTGACACATGATAAGGGCCATACCTTGGATCTGGTTTTCTCAACGGGACTGGAAGATGGTGGTTTGGATGTGGAGGGGCTGGTTGTGACCCCATTGTAATGGTCAGACCACTTCCCGGTCAAGTTTAGTCTATTAGCTTCTTCTCTCCTCTGCAAGGGTGGGGGAATCTACTAAGATAATCCGCCCTTGGAGACTAATGGATCCAGATGGTTTTCTGAATGCTCTGGGGGATTATCCATCTGATATGGTTGGCACTCCTGTTGAAACTCAGGTCACCCTATGGAATGGGGAGATGACCCAGGCGGTTGACCCGATTGCGCCTAAGCGGACTCTACCTGCAAGCAGAGCCAAGACAGCTCCTTGGTATACAGTGGGGCCCCGCATAGCGACGTTAACCCGTTCCAGGAGAATCGTCGCTATCCGGAAACATCGCTATCCAGAAAGTAAAACCCCATAGGAACGCATTAAATGGAGTTTAATGTGTTCCTATGGGGGGGAAACTCACCGGTAAGCCATCCAGCCGCCATTTTTGCCGCCTCGGTAAGCAAGGGCAGGGCGCAAAAACGCTGCGGGGGGCCATTTTCTTGATCCAGCGGCTATTTTGGAACCGCCGATCAGCTGACAGGCGGGCTTTTGGGAAGGAGCAGGGAGGGCTCCCCCATGCTCCTTCCGAAGCGCCGGGGGCTTTTTCGGCCAGCTGACGGGCGGGCTCTTCAGAAGGAGCGCCAGGGAGGGTTCCCCCGCACTCTTTCCAAAGCGCCCACGGCTTTTTCGGCCAGCTGACCGGCGTGCTCTTCGGAAGGAGCGCAGGGGAGGGCTCCCCCGCGGTCCTTCCGAAGCGGCCGCAGCTTTTTTGGCCAGCTGACGGGCGGGCTCTTGGGAAGGAACGCAGGGGAGGGCTCCCCCGCGGTCCTTCCAAAGCGGCCGCAGCTTTTTTGGTCAGCTGACTGGCGGGCTCATGGGAAGGAGCGCCGGGGAGGGCTCCCCCGCGCTCTTTCTGAAGCGCCCGCGGCTTTTTCAGCCAGCTGACGGGCGGGCTCTTGGGGA